TGACTCTTTGACTTGACTTTAATACTACTTGATGTACATCACAGACTGACTATAAGGCTAAGTGCTGGTAACCTCTGGCCTATGACTGACTGACTACTCTATATGGACAAAAGAAGAAAGGAGGAAATGACGTCTATGGACTCTTTGAACGTACAATGTCTCATTCAGTGTTCTGATATAATGTATATCTCAGCATATGTGTGTTGGATGTGTAATTATTACCTTGTAGTGAAGTAATAATTAGTAATAATTAGGGGCCAGAATGTGGTGAATGGGCATAGTTTTGATCACGTGGTGTCAGCAGTGATTGGTAAAATCACCTGTTCTGCTCACCTGGTGTTTGTGTCAGAGTGGGTGATGGGGGATGTCTACATTTTGCTGACCGCTTTAAGTTTTTGGATATTATTGTTGCGCTTGATCACGGCTCCAACCTGTGGATTTGTTTGTATGCTGCCTGCATGTTTTTTGAAGATCAATAAAAGGATCTGAACAGCATATTGAACTGAACCTTTTGAGCGCGTCAACAAGGATTCCCCTAATCAGCCGCTCGGCGACTTAGTTGTTTTGACTGTCGCCAACAAGACACATGTGTGATTTGAAATCACACATATTTCACACTGAACTATAGTTCAGTCCACAACAGTTCCAATAAATAGTCCATCCTGAGACAAACCCCCACGCCGCAGCAGACTCTGCCCAAAGTGTCACCAGAAGGATCAGTACGAGCCGGTCACAGACCGGCCTGAATGAGCCACACTGGACAAGGGACCGGAACCTGCTTCATGCTGACCAGGATGGCGGGCATGAAGCCAACAGCCAGAGCGACAGGTAGGGAGCCGATGATGGAGGACTACAGGCGGACTGCTGGCTAGGAACAATAGGCAAACAGCCAGCCAAGGACAAACAGCAGCGTCTATCAAACATGCATGTCAAAAAAAAAAAAATAGAATCTAGAACCATGCAAAAATTAGCTTCTCACTTACAACTGAAAATAAGCACTTGTGTGGCGCAAAAGGCATACTGCAAGATATATATATATATATTAGGGGTGGAACGGTTCACAAAATTCACGGTTTCGTGGTAACGGTTTTCAGTTCGGTTCGGTTCGGTATATGTTGATTGTTACACCGAAATCCCATAAAAATTATGGAAATTAATGAAAAAGTTCAAAAAATTTATGAATTGTAATTATTTTTAATGATCCGCGGAAACCCTGGATCATTTCCGGATGTTTTGCTGCTTTGAATGTAATCATCTCGCGCATGCTCTCTACCATCTCCAAGGAACTCAGAGCGGAGCGGACGGGAGCCACAGCAGAGGCTGTAGGCTTTGCTTTATGCAGGAGGTCTGGAGCGCAGCAGGGCGGAGCGCTGACGGAGTATGTGGGATTTCGGGGTTAGCATGACATGTTGGTCATGTTGCTGTTAGCATAAACAAAAAGTGTTGCACAATGCTTGCACACTGTTGCACTTTTATCCACAACTTTCTTTCCGCCGTCATCATAGGTCACTCTAAATGCAAAACGGTTCAATACAGCAAGTACTGCTGGCGCGTCTTCCAACTCCTGTTCTTTCCCACTCACCATACCCGCACAATTCTCCACAAGAACTTTTTTTCTGCTACACCTGGCTACGCTGCTTTGCTTCTTCTTCTTCTTGTTTACTACTGGTGGTTGGCTTTGGTCGCAGTACCGCCACCTTCTGCTCTGGAGTGTAATCGCTTTGCCTATGTCATGAAACGAGGACAGTTGGATCCAGTATT